GGTCCGTGGTGAAGGGGGTGAGGGTTGGTCCATCAGGTAGAAGGTTCAGTGAGAGATGATGACGTACAGGTGAAATTTGCTCATGGAAATGCCAGTCATGCAGCCGGACATCTGGGCTTGAGGGGAACAGTTCGGGAGCTTCTACTGAGAAGTAATTGTCCCTGAAGGGGGGGTAGTGGTGGCAAGAACTGACATGTGGCAGGGGCAAGTAGATGCTGAAAGGATCATTTATGACGCGTGCCCCAAGGCACAGTAACACCAGCGTGTTACTGGCCGTGCTGGGTCCCCTGGGTTCATCCAAGAGTCCTTCCCGGTCATCTTGCCGCTGCCCTGGAACCAGCAGAGCTGCCCCTGGAGGCTGCCTTCCTCGCTCTAAGCCTCACTTTCCACAGCGGGCCCCTCACATGAACACGAAGTGGATCCGGCCCTTGGCAAACACACTCGAGAGCCGGAGAAACAGGTCTTGGGGCGTTGCTGTTGCCATATTTCAGGTGGTTCTTCAAACAGGTCAAACCCGGGGTATGATTATTTTGTCTTAGAGGAATGAGAATTGCCTTTGTCCCTCAGGCATTGAGAGAGGGAAGAAAAACAAGGGTAAGGAGCAGAGAGAGGCAAAATGCTGTAGTGTTGTGGAGAAAAGCCCTACAAAATTGTCATTGAGCTTTTAGGGGTCGCCTGGCCCATGTTGTGTGATGCTGGGTGAAGCACAAACCCCACTGGACACACTGTGTGTTGTGTGCTGGACACAGTTGTTGGGGTCAGCTAACATGGTGCCACTTTGTCAATCCTGCGGGGGCAGTGCCCAAGGGGGTAGGGGAGCAGCTAGGTTGTGTAAATAGCAGTTGGCACCCTAAAATCGTGCCTGAACTGCTGGAGAACAGATATAAGGGAGACCTTGGCTGGACTTGTGCATCATTCCATCTCTCTGGGCTCATGGTTTTTAGCTGGATTATTCAATGTCACTCATGCTTGGCACTTGTGACAAGTACACCCTGGCCAGGAACTGAGTCAGAGGTTGTGAACTGGTGGCCCGCAGGTAAGGTTTTCGTTGTTGTTTTGTTTTGATCTGCACAGTGGTTTTTGACTGAGGCAGTTAAGGGCACTTAAAAATGGGGAGTCTTCAAGTCAAAGTGAGATCTCCCGCTCTTCGAGATAAGTAGAAATACCTGGAAACGCAGGGCCTCCGTTCCGCATGGCAGTGCCGTGTGGAAGCAGGGTAGCTGCTGGCCCACCGCTGGTTTGGGGAGCACCGCTCTTTGTATCTCCTTCACTCAAAGGCAGAGAGTCGGCTGCCAGATGGCCCGATGTCATCACGTTTGTTCTAATGTTTATGTCACACCCGGCCCGCGTCGCCAGTTTTCTGTGCTTATGGGGCAGAGGGGCATGTGAGCTTTGATGTAGTGCCCTGAGTCATCTCACCTGCCTGGGTGCTGGTGCTGCGGCGGAGGGGCCCAGCACGGTGGGGAGGGGCAGCCCCAGGACAAGGGTGAGGCGTGGGGCCGCTGCTGGGTGCATCCGGGAGGCGCTCCAGCCCCTGTGTTCAGGAAGGCCTGGCCGGCGCCCTGTCAGATAGAGGTAGGGGGTGGTGACTGGCTCGGGGAAACCGAGACAAAGGAACTGCAGACCTGACATCCAAAGGAACTGCAGACCTGACATCCGAGCCCCAATCTCGGGGTGTGCCGACTGTGGATCTGACCACCACACGCCCGAAGTGAACTTCCAAACACGAAGTAACCCTGTGGGCTTGTTTTGTTTGCTTCTCTTTGCGGGGAGGGCGAGGAAGGAAGGGCTCTCTCCGAGTCTGTTGAGCTGAGCTCCGCTCCCTCCGCCTGTGTTTGCGTAAGCGGTGCCTGCCAGCGCTCCCTGGAACCTGCTGCCGACCAGCTGTTGAAAGGGCCTTTGAATAAACAACCCCCTGGCTTTGGTATTGCATTTCAGGGTAAAAGAATTTTGAACTTCTCCTCTGTCTTGTTAGAAATGTGTATTTTGGCTCCAGTGGAAGGATCCTTTGTCTTCCAGAATGTCCCTGGTCTTGCCTGATCCTGTGAAGCGCAGTGTGGACATTTGTTGAAATCCATCACCGCCACCACTTTGTTGCGGCCACCTTGTTTAATGAGACCGTGTCCCAGGGCAGAGAACTTGCCTCAAAGGGGCCGTGCTGTGGAGGATGAGCCAGCAACACCTTTTCCCTCCTTTGCTTCCTCAGTCTCCTCCTCCTCCTTCTTCAGGAAGCAGTATGCCCAGGAGCTTCCTGAAGCTGCTCTCCTGCTCGGTTCCCACCCCTCCCCCCGGCCCCACAACATCCATGTACAGCAGAGGAATCAGGTCTGTGTGTGCAGGAACACTGGGTTTTGAACCCAAGTCTGACTCTACACCTGGGCCCCTTCTAGAACCAGGTGCTTCTTCCTTCAGCTGCGTGCGCCTCTGAGGGAGGCACGGGCTCTGTCCACGAGGCTGACCCACTGTCCCCTGGAGAGACCCCAGTGGCCGTGTAGCCTGTGGCTTTTGCTGAGGCCGGTGCGCTCATAAACAGCCCTGTGAGGAGGAGCCACCAGGATGTCTGTCTGCTTGGAGAACCTGTTCGCAGGGAGCCCTAAGCGAAAATGTTTGTGTTGTCACTGAAGCACTTTGACATGTACGGTCCTTTGTTTCTGGAGCAGGGAAGAGTCCGAGGGTTTTAGAAGGTTTGAGGAAATGAGAAAATTATGCTCATATGTGGGAGGTTTACCATTAAAATGTGGAGAACCCCCCAGATGGCATTTATTGTTACAGCCGTGGTTTCAGCTTCTGCTGCTCCTGCCTCCATTTCCCGGCGGCCCTGCGGCATTCACTTTAGGTTGTGTGTGACGGAAAATTCAGCCCAGCCTGGCTTTGGTGAAAAAGAGAGTAGCTTCGTAGTTTATCACGGAGGGCTGGCTTCACAGGAGATTGAAACTTGGTCCCTCTCTCTCTTTGGGTGTCCACAAGGGGCTTTCCCGGGCCTTGGGTCTGTGTGTTGGGGCTCAGGCACAGTCAGCAGAAGGGCCAGTCGCGCCTTCGCAAAGCCAGGGCCCCTGCGAGCAGCCCTGAGTCATCCGGGTGGAGGTGGGGCTGTTTTCCTGAGAAGGGTGTGGGGTGTGGGTCTGTGTAGATAGGAGCCTGACCCTCGTCTTGAGGGCATGGGGACGGGTGGTTTTCCTTGTGGCTTTGTCTGGAATTGTTTGTGACATTTGGAGTCATTTCTGGGCTTAAATGTCCCCCATCCAGTACTGGCGATGGATTTGGTCAGGGATCGTAAGTCACCTAGGGCAGGATCCAAAGATTTATTTCAGTCCTTCTCGGGGAGGTGGAGATAAACCACGAATCTGTTGATGGTGAGAACGTGGGGCCAGTGGTGTTTTTGTAAAGTTAGCATTTACACCCCTGCACAAGGCTTGCTTCCAAAATACCATTGTCCCGTGACCACTGGGGAGGCAACTGGCCACGCTGCCCCTCTTATCTCCTGTCACCAGGCTTGGCATTGGCATTATGCTTCATCCCAAGTTCAAAACCCAAGCAGTCTCACACCCGTCTCTCTCTCTCTCCCTCCCTCCCTCCCTCGGTCCCTCCCCAGTGATAGAAGCGGGGAGGACACATTGTCCTGTGATGAGACTTTGGGTTCATCAAGCTTTATAGCTGGTTTCTTTCTATTTCCCAAAGCTTCTACCCAGAGAACTCAGATGACTCTGGAAGTGTTATTCACATATAATATGTCGTATTGTTGGAAAATCACAGCAGGTAGGGAAGACGAGCAAGCTGATGTTGCTAAGAAACTTTGAAAGTGCACTTGTGTTTTCATTGTTTTGTGAACGTAGAGAATTTGTGTATGCTGAGGACAGAGAGCTCTGGCGTGAGCCTTTGACATGGTCCCCAGTGGGAACGGCTTACAGTCTGCGGGAAGAATGGTTGGGAATATGATTCTTCAGTGCCCTGTTTATGATTTTTTGGGATCGCCTGGTTTCTCACAGACAGTATCGAATATACTTAAAAAAAGGAGGGATGCCGGAGAAGATAAGGCATTTGGGAAAGAGTTCAGGAGACTGGAGAAATAAATGCAAAGCGCATCAGTAGTCGTAATAATAGCAGTAGTCCCAGTGGCATCGTGAACGCTCAGCCATTCCCTGACAAATGTTGCATCCTCCACGCAGACAGAATGACGCTGGAGACTGAAGGCCTTGCCTCAGCACTTTCCCTGTGGCCCACAGTGGTCCTCTATTATTTCAGAGGTAAAAGCTTAGTGTTATAACCCAGTAGCCTCATAAATCCTCATGATGGATACAGTACTGACTCATTTTTATAAGTCCCGGTCATAGAAGAGAGGCTATAACACTTGTATTTGTTTATTATATTTACTAACAGTCATTTCTGCTGAGAGCCTCCTGTGTACAGCCTTGTTGCATGCATCATCTCATTTAATTCCCCCTTGCCTGGGGGAGGCAAATATTATTCTTTATTTATGAGAACAGTGAGGCTTACGGGGATTAACTCACTTGCCCATGACCACACAGGGAGCAAGTGGCCGGGCTCTGACCCAAACCCCACCTGGCTGGCCCAGGGGGCAGGACTCTTAACACCAGCGGGGCCACCTGTGCTTGGAGCAGCGGCCATCCGACACAGCAGGGCCGGGCTGAGGGTGAGGGGCGGAGCGGCCCTGCCACCAGCTGCGTCACGGCTGTGCAAGTGCGGGGCTGGCTCCTGTCCTCGTTGAACATTTTGACCTTTTGTTCATCGTGGATTTTCTTTGCATTGATTTTGCCATTTAAAAATGTTGTTCCTGGGTATTATTATCTATCTTGGTTACTGGAGTTTCCAGCATTCAGAGCAGGTGTAATCATCTCTGTTGTGTGGGTGAGGACCACCAGGGGTTATTGAGGCCAGGAGCTGGGATATTTGCCAGGTCTCTTGGGACCCGGGTTGGGGACAGCAGTGTGGCTTACCTTGGTGGGGACTGTGGAGTTCTCAGGAATGTGCTTCTCTTCCAGGTCGGGAAAGAGGTTGAAGAAGACCCGCAAGTATGACATCATCACCACTCCAGCCGAGCGCGTGGAGATGGCCCCACTAAATGAAGAGGAGGATGAGGATGAGGACTCCACGGTATTTGACATCAAATACAGGTACCAGTGGGGACAGCAGCTGCCTCCTGGGTCCCCGGGCTTGGGGTGGTGGGACACTTCACCTTTGGAAACCCCATAAGGCTAGGCGTGTGTTCTTGTTCTCCGGTCAAGTGTGTGGCCTTGGGATGTGCTGCCTGTGGGGCAACTGCTCTGATCCCTGCAGCAGCACACAGCACCCAGAAAGCAATGGGAAGCACTTGCAGAGAAGCCGTTATTGCCTACTCTTCCCGAGTGCCAGCACTGGAAACTCAGCTTGTCAGGAGGAAAGGGAGGGCTGAACTTCCGACAAGACGCTCTTCCTGTACTTGCTCTGGGGCACTTGCTGTGAGCAGCCCCACCTGTCACACACTGTTCGCAGAAATGGAAACCTCTCTCTCAGCCCCTCTTACACTGAGTCCCCGGAGCAGGGAGTGAGCGTGGCATTTACTGACAAACTCGAACGCCAGGTGTGCTTTCTGCAGGTAGCCGGTGGGAAGGTCAGGGTGATGTTGTGACTTCGAGAGGGGAGTGTGGTTTGTGGGTCCTTTTGGGATGTACTTCAGGTATGTGGGATTCTCAGTGTGAGAGCTGGGGGTGAACACAGTTTAGAGATGAGGGCTCAGGGGTCCACAGAGGGGATGTTGCTTGCTCAAGGTCTCAGTTATTAGGGGCAAAGGTAAGACACAAATCCACGCTGGACCCAGTTCTGAGCTTCGTCCCCCAGGGCTCTCCAGAGAAATAGAACCAACAATCCTATATCCATATATAAAGAGCCTTATTTATAAAGCTCCAAGCCTGAAGGACTGGGGACCAGGAGAGCCAAAGCCAAAGGTATGAGTTCCAGTCCCCGGGTACGAGAAGACCAATATCCCAATTCAAAAATAGTCAGGAAGAGCACGTTCTCCTTACTCAGACGTTTGTTCAGTTCAGGCCCCCAGCGGGTTGGATGAGGCCCCTCCACGCTGGGGAGGGCAGTCTGCTTTACTCGGGCTTCGGATAGAATTGTTACTCTCACCCGAAAACATCCCCAGAGACACGCCCGGAATAATGCTCGACCGAATATCTGGGCACCATGTGACCCAGTCAAGTTGGCACATGACACTGACCGTCGTACACAGGTTTTCCACACCTGGGAAGGTGAGTCTCCCACATCGCCCCGCCTCCTCCGGCACGGCCTTGGCTGTCCCCAGCCCGCGGCCCCCCTGTGTCAGTCAGTGCTCAGATCCAGCAACACAGCGTTTGGGGTTTCGACCAGAGCTGTGTGGACTCTTTCGATCGGTTTAGGGAGAATCAACCACTTTATGGTGACTTTTCCAATCCACGAACATGAAATGACTTACCATTTTTTAGATGTTTTCAAAGCTGTCTTTCAGTACTTTCAGAAGTGTCTCCGTAAATCTATTATACATTTTTATTAGATGTATTCCCAGGTATTTTATGTTTTGAGACATAAATGCTTTAAAAATACCATTTTTATATTCATGTCTAAAAAAAGGGTTGTGCTATCATATGTACACACATTACTGATGTTACAAATAGTTTGTTAATGGAAGACACCTAGAAGACACAAACAAAACACAGCCTGGTTACAGATAGCAGAGTTGAGGAACAAATCATTGGCTGTAATTGACACTTTTGGTGAAGAGCAGCACCTTTTGAAAAGAATCCAAACAACTAGTCAATTCATCCATACTGCAAAATAATACACACACATGAAAGGTAGTGATTGTACTGATTTTATTGCTAGGCCATTTTGTCCACCTCGTATTCAATGCACAGAAATAAGACCTAATGGGAAGAAAACTGCATCTTCATCATTAGTCACAATACAAAGGGTTTGCTGCACCCCGCAGGCGGCAGGCTGGGGGGTTTGTAAACAGGAGCACTTGATGGCTTAAGTGGATCAATGTGCTGTTTGGATTCCGAGCCACTGAATAGAGTTTTATCCATATTTGGTGACCAGAGTAGCTCCTTGGGAGCTGCAGTACGCTGAGCCATTTTTGTTGTGGACTCAGATCTCACCAAATAAGAAAAGGCCCCCAACAGAGAACTATGGCGATCACCCTGTCCAGAAATTCTATCTGCAGGCTCTTCCTTGAGTGTGAGGTGGAAAAGGGGGCCCCTTCTTGAGTGCAGGGATACGAGTATTGTCGCCTAAAGACTGCTAGATCGGTACCGTGTCGGCTGTAACGAAGATAAGGTGTGTACTGAAACCACAGTGGATGAAGAAACTTCCCTTACTTGCCTCTGTTCTTCAAACAGTGGGGCAGGCTTCTTTTCCAGGCCGACAGTCACTGCCGTGCTGGCACTGCTGGCTGCGACACTCACCACCAAAAGCAAATGAGTTTTTAGATATTTAATTTTTTTTTCAGTTTTATTGAGGTATAAATGACATGCATTACTGTACAAATTTAAGGTGTACAGAATAATGACTTCACATACACGTATTGTGAAGCGATTACCACAATAAGTTAGCATCTATCACCTTATATAGTTACAATTTTTTTTTTTTACTTTGTGATGAGAACTTTTGGGATCTGTTCTTGTAACAGCTTGAAAACACACCATACAACAGTGTTAACTATAACTATAGCTATCACATTATACATTATATATATCCTCAGTACCTCATTTATTTCACGACTGGAAGTTTGTGTCTTTTGACTGCCTTTACCCAGTCCCCCCGCCCCCAACACACCCACCTCTGGTAGCCACAAATCTGATTTTTTTAAATGAGTTTGGTTGTTTCAGATACCACCTGCAAGTGCGATCATATAGTATTTGTTTGTTTCTGTCTGACTTATTTTGCTTAGCGTGATGTCCTCAAGGTTCATCCACATTGTTGTCATTGGCAGGATTTCCTTTTCTTTTTAATGCTGAATAATATTCCACTGTATCTAGATCCATTTCTTTACCCATTTGTCCATTGATCGATACTAAGGTTGTTTCCATGTGTTGGCTATGGGAAATAATGCAGTGAAGATGGAGGTGCAGATATTTCTTCGACATAGCAATATCGTTTCCAAAGGCGAATGAGTAAATGAACCACTTGGTAGGTGTTAAGGCAGCAGATACTACTTCTGTTTTTAAGAGAACAGTTGCAAGGGCAAAGGCAGGCGAGAAACCAGGTCTCATAGCATGCTCTGGAGCATTTCATTGTAACCAGCACTCACCCTCTGACACGACAGCATGCGCCTGTGCACATGCGGTAACTTATAATGGCGGAATCCTCTCCCTCCGCCATCACCATTCTGGGCAGAACCTCAGGACCCAGCCAACCCACGTGTGTCAGCCTTTGACCCCAGATCACCCGTCATAACGAGCCCCTGTGTCCCGCAGGGTCAGTCTCCACGCCTGGGTTTCTGCCTCCGGGGCCGCCACTTTGCTCTGCGGTCACTTTGGGGACAGCTGCAGAGACAGGTTCCTCTGTGAGCCCTGGTCACGGGATCGGAGACCTCGTCTCTGGTACCTTTTTAAGACACTGTTTTCTCACTTTTTCCTCATGACGTTTAAAAATGCAGTTGATTTTTCAAAATACTGATTTTTAAAAATCCAGCAACTTCACGACATTCTTATTGATTCTAGTACTATCAGTGGGGATTTGGGGGGTTTTCTGTATAATATATCATCTGAAACTAGTACCATCCCCCCAAATCCTTCAACATGTTCTCTCTCTCTCTTTGGTTTTTCTTGTACTCCTCTTTGGCCTTTAAGTCGCTGTTAAATGGAAGTGATGATGACAGGCATCCCGTCTTGTTCTTGATCTTACAGGGTGTGCTTTTTGTATTCACCAGGAAGAGCAGTGTTTGCTGCGAGGTTTTGTCAATCTTTTTCTTGTTCTTTTTTTTGTTTAACCAGGAAGTCTCCTTCTATTTCTAATTTGCTAACGTCAAATTTTGTTAAATGCTTTTTCTGGCTCTATTGAAAACATCATGCTTTTTCCTTTACTCTGTTAGGGCGGTGGAATTATATTCATGGATTTTTCTAACATTAAACCAACTTTGCATTCCAGAGATAAAATGACCTTGGTCATGGTCAGGTTACCTTTTTATGCATTGCTGCATTTAGTCTGCTGATTTTTTTATATCTCACAATTTATATTTTTTAGTAGGTAAAGACACAGTCTGTTAAATAAAAGCAGTGCTCAGTTTGCTAAGGTTTTGTTCAGGACGTTCTTGTTCCTCTCAGTGACTGAGATTGGTGTGTGGTTTTCCTGCCTTGGAATATCTTTGTCCAGGCTCCGGGGAATGTTTGAGGAGCCTCCCACTGCAGGTTGGGGCACATGACTTGTTTTCCTTTCCTCTGAAATAGTTTGTATCAGATTAGAATTACTGGTTTCCTGAATGTTTCGTAGATCTTGCCAAAACTGTCTGGGAATAGCCTGATGCTTTCTTTGTGCAAAGATTTTTAAAAACTATTGATCAGTTCTTTGAGCATTTATAGGACTATTGAGTCTTTATTTTTTTCTGGGATCAGTTGTGATGGGTTGTATTTTTTTTTGAATTCTGTCCATTTCCTCTAAGTTTTCAAATATATCTTCCTTAAGTTGTTCACAACATTTCCTTATGGTCATCTTTTTAATCGTGGTAGCATATGTGCTTATGGTCCCCTTTCATCCTTCACATTGGTTACGTTTGTTCTCCTTTCTCTTAATCCAGCTAGAGGCTGGAAGTTTGATTTTAATTCATTTATACAAAGAACAAACTTGGCTTCTTTGATCTTTTCTATTATATTATCATTTCCAATTGATTTCTGCTTCTCTTCCTCAGGCTTTCTTTGGGTGCATTCCCTGCTTTTTTTTCTAACTTCTATTGACTATTTTGGCTCATTCATTTTCAGCCTTCTTTCCTGGAGTGTTTATTCTGCAACTTGATCTACTCCAGCTGCTTCCCACCAGCTTTCCTTATCTTGCCCTAGCCTGCCTCCCTGTTTGTTGGGAAGAACTGGGCTTAAGTAGCTCACGTTAGAAGCTTGTCCTGTTCATGGTTGCAATGATACGAGGATGTGAGTGAACTTGGAAT